GCTTCTGGCTTTGAATACACGCAGCTCCTGCCATTTGTGGCCATCTAATGAGTGAACCAGTGAATGGAAGACCTCCCTCCCTCTCTCTCTCACTGCCTCTTCCTCTCTGTAACTCTGCCTTTCAAATAAATAAATAAAGCTTTAAAAAAAAAAGCTCTAGTAAATTTCTTTTTAGTCTTCCTTGCATTTTAGAATTAGAATTGTTCAAGGATTTTATATACAGTATTCCATCTGTTACTCAAATCTATTAAAAGAAGGCGAGGCCATCTGGGGAGTGAACTAGCGGATGGAAGACCTCCCTCTCTCTCTCTGCCTCTGCCTCTCTATTTCTCTTTCAAATAAATAAATAAAATCTTAAAAAAAAAAAAAAAGGAAGGCGAGGGCAGGTATTTTCATCATTTACAGATGAGATTAGTGGGGTTTGGAGAGGTTAAATGATTCCTCCAAGTTCTCACAGCTAGGAAGTAGCAAAGCCTGCTGGGAGCACAGCTGTGACTCCTAATTTGTTACTTTGTCATTACCCTTTCCAGAGAGAGGAAGGTCTGGCTGCTTAGGGGCAGCTGCCTCTGTTGGTGGATACACAATAAGGCAGCAGAGAACATTTAGGTTTGCTTTTTCTAAATTTTTAATGAACCAGCAATGCGTTTATTGTAAATTTCATAAATAGGCAGCCATCCAGAAGCAAAGCAATGAACACAGCAGATGGAGATGCTGTGAAAATGTATTTCTGTGAGACTTAGAAGCGGACATGTAGTGACAGCAGAAATCAAGTTTGTTTTTTTAAGATTTTTTTCTTTATTTGAAAGGTAGTTAAGAGAGAGATCTTACATTCACATCCACTGGTTCACTCCCCAATGGCCACAGCTGGGCCAAGCCCAAGCCGGGAGCAAGGAACTCCATCCAGGTCTCCTACATGGGTGGCAGGGACCCAAGTACTAGGGCTATCTTCCACTGCTTTCCCATGTGCCTTAGCAGGGAGCTGGATCAGAAGTGGAGCAGCCAGGACCCATATGGCAAACTGGTGCTTCCACCTGGAGTTGCTTAACTCACCACAGGTGGAACCCTAACTCATCATCACACTACAATCTCGGCCCCAGAAATAGTATTTAGGCTCCTAGTCCGTCCCAGTGAATGCTTTGTGAATCTTGATGGCCACCAAAGTTGTCTCCTGGAGATCTCTCTCACTTACCTTAGCTATCTCTGGCCAATGACTTCCAGAGCGTAAATTTGATGGCCTGCAAAATGCCTAGTGTGCTGAGAATGTAAACAAGAACGAGGCCCCATCCCAGCTGTCAGAGCTCAGTCTATACCAGGTAAACAATTAAAATACAGTGGTGAACACATCATACAAAGGGCAAGTACTATAAAAAAACAGAAGTTTTCCTAAGACGGTAAGAACAGAATTATATGTAGTAAACACTCCTTAAGAATAGTTCTACATTTAGAATCTGAAGTCTTTTTGTAGTTTTAAAAATGTTTATTCATTTTATTTTTTGAAAGGCAAAGAGAGAGATTCATCTTCCCCCAAAGCACCTGCAATGGCCAGAGCTATACCAGGCCAAATCAGGAGCCAGGAACTCCATAAAGGTCTCTTCTGTGGGTGGCAGGGACCCAAATTGAGCCATTTATTGCCTCCCAAGTGCATTAGCAGGAAGCTGGATCCGAAGCAGAGGCAAGAATTAACCCCAGGTACTTGGATACTAGCATTCTCAAGTGGCAGCTTAACCCACTGCACCACAAAACACCAGCTCTTTTTTTTTCTTTTTTTTAAAGTTTTCTTTATTTATTTGGAAGGTAGAGAGGGAAAGACACCATCTTCCATCCTCTAGCTCGCTCTCCAAATGCCCTCAACAGCTGAATCTGGCCAAAGCAGAAGCCAAGAGTCAGGTGCATCAGCCAGAAGATGCATTGGAAGCCTTCTCCAGTCAGGCACTCCAAAATGGGATTCAGGCATTCCAAGCAGCAGCTTAGTCTGCTGCACTACAACACTGGCTCCTAAAAGCTTAAGTCTTTTAGATAACTTGCAAGATTTACAGCTTCATTAGTGAAAATAATATTTTTATTGAATACCTATGCTGCACAAGACAGTATTATAGATCTTTCACCCACTTGTTCACTCCCCAAATATCTACCATAGCCAGGGCTGGCCAGATCAAAGGCAGGAGTCAGGAACTCCATCCTGGTCTCCCACATGAATGGCAGGGGCCCAAGGTGTGAACCATCATCTACTGCCTTCCCAGGTACATTAGCAGGAATTGCAATAGTCGGGACTGGACTTGGCACTCCAATACGAGATTACAGCATCACAAGTGGCAGCTTAATCCACCATGTCACAATGCCAGCCCTATTTTTAAATTTCATTTTATATACCAAATCAGCAGTTTAGGGACCAGCGTTGTGGCACAGCTGGTTAAGCCACTGCTTGCAATGCTGTCATCCCATAGGCGGGTGCTAGTTCAAATCCCGGCTGCTTGACTTCTGATTCAGCTCCCTGCTAATATGCCTGAGAAGGCAACCTGTGATGACCCAAGTGTTTGAGCCCCTGTCACCCATGTGGGAGACCCAGATGGAGTTCCAAGTTCCTGGCTTTGGCCTGGACCTACTTTGACTCTTGTGGCCATCTGGGGAGTGAACCAGCAGATGGAAGATCTCTTTCGCTTTCTGTCCCTCCACCTTTCAAATATATAAAAATCAACAGTTTGGCTTGGGGAAAAATTGTGAAACAATTGGCTTTGGTTAATAAAAAAGGGAAATTCAAAGTAACAAAATCATGAACAGGAAAAAGCCAACATAACTCAAACATATATATATATATATATATATTTAAGATGTCTTTCATTTATTTGAAAGGTGTAGTTAGAGAGACAGTCTCTGGCCTTCAGTGAAGAGCTCTCATCCAGCTTATGTCCTATGGCTCAGAGGCAGAGCTTCTGTCCTTATCCCATCACCCAGTAGATAGGTGGCTGTGGACAATTTATTTAGGTTATATGTTCTTTGTCTCATCTGAAAGTAAGAGTTCTCCAAAAAAAGTTGAGCGTCTGACTTTGGTGCAGTGGTTAAAATACTGAAGGTAGGTAGTGCTGGCGCTGTGGTTTACCGGCTGAAGCCACCGCCTGCAGCACCAGCATCCCATATGGGCACTGAAGTCCTGGATGCTCCACTTCCCATCCAACTCTCTGCTATGGCCTGGGAAAGCAGTAGAAGATGGCGCAAGTCTTTGGGGCCCTGCACCCATGGGGGAGACCCAGAAGAAGCTTCTGGCTTCAGGTCAGCTCAGCTCCTGCCATTGTGGCCATTTGGGGAGTGAACCAATAAACAAATAAATCTTTAAAAAAATAAATAAATAAATAAATAAAACAAAAAACCACAGCCACATATTTAAAATAAATACTGACTGGGAAGCCCATATCTTACGTTAGAGTGCCTGGGTTCAAATCCCAGCTCCCTTCCTGCTGATGTACACAGCATTGCTGAACACCACCCCAAACTGGCTGGAGGCATTGCTGTAGAACCCCCAAACTGAGTCTGCTCACCCCATGTGCAGAAGGCCAATCACTGACATCTGAGTGGTGGAATAAAGTAGGTGTCTATTGCAGAGCAAGGAGCCAGGCAGCTATTGCTTAATTCCCAGGCTCCCAGAGGAGTTAGGAGTAAAGGTTCTCATAGATTGAAGTTGGGGCTGAGAGGTGCATGATCAGCTCCTGTCAAACTTCCTGCTTGGTTGATGGGTCTGTGACAGTGTGCTCTTTAGGGAATTTATGATGGCCAGGTGGGCTCCAGCTGGTCTGGGGGTTCTGTGAACGTGGCAGCTACATTCTGCACAGACCTTGAATTGCCCTACACTAATCACAATGGGACAACACTGGCCATCAAGGTTCTTATCTATTGGAGAAGCAAATGACTCCTTGAGTCTGATGATTGGAACCCTGTAAGGCCAGCTGGATCAGTCCCTCGAATCAGTGGCTTCTTTTTGATAAAGGACAGGTAAAGACATCTTGGGCTAAGGCTGGGTCCTGCTTTCACATTATAAGGGTCTGGTCTCAACCATAGGATGCAGCAGGTGACAGCTAAAGTATTTGGGTCCCTGCCATCCATGTGAGACACCCAAATTGTGTTTCTGGCTCCTGGTTTTGGCTTGGCCCAACCACAGCTGTTGCGATCATTTGGGAAGTAAACCATAGATAGAAGATCTCTCTCTTTCAAATAAAGTATAAATAAATAAATACAAATTCATAAAATTTTTACAAAAGATTTGAGAACTAAGGTGTATAGAACACTTATCACAATTCCTATCATATTCGCCCCATAAGTGTTAGCTACTTAACCCCTCTACTCTGCAGTTCCAGTGTGTGTGTGGTTGTGTGGGTGGATGGGTGGAAGGGGTTTGTATGTGTCAACCTAAGCTCATTATTTTCTCCACCTGAAAACCCCACCCATTTTCCTAAACTCCCTCTGAGCCTCATGGGGCAGAGTGCTGCATGAGCCCAGTCCTTTTCCCTTACCCATTGCTTTCACTGTACTACAAAGCCCTGCAGCTTCTTGGTCCTGGAAATGCCTCTTTTCCTGCACTGCCTCTGGCCTGGTGCAGGCCCATCACAGGGCTCTCATTTCAACTACTCCAACAGTCTCTGCCTTCACTGCGTCTTCCACTCTCCTCCAGTGACCTGGCTAAAACGCTGCAGTGACTGGGTCAGCCACGCCTCTAAACCTTACTGTGTCCAAGTTAACAAGGAAACCAGGCAAAGAGAAGGATCTTGTCAGGTGGCACAACTTGGTGGCTTCTTGCTCTGCCCTCTTTCTCTACCTTTGGAATATTGTGAAATATGTTTGGTCTTTGTCCTAATTTCCTGATGAATGGCTTTTAAAATCCTTGGAATCTCCAAAGTAATAAATGTCTTTTTGTATGTTAATGAAGTGACTGCTGACTGCAGCCTGTAGGTGGCTTCAGGATGGGGGCTGCTCAAAGAAATACCAAGGAGGGGCGAGTTGTGGTTTAAACCGGGAGTGTGTGGCACCAGCGGGCTGCGGAGACTTGCAATAATCCAGAATGGCCACTCTGATCTTTGTTGATAAGGAAAACAGAGAACCTGGCACCCTCGTGGCTCCTAAGGATGGGCTGAAGCTGGGGTCTGGGCCTTCGAAAGCGTTAGAGGGGAGAGCGCAGGTTTCAGCGCCGCTTGTTAGCAAAAGGTTTGATGGTCCACCAGCCTTACCGAAAGCTGCCAGAAAGGCCTTGGGAACTGTCAACAGAGCTATAGAAAAGTCCGTGAAGACGAATGGACCCCTCGAACAAAAACAGTCCAGCGCTGCCAAAAAGATAACTGAGAAGAATGTTAAAGCAAAAAACTCTGTTCCTGCCTCAGATGACACCTATCCAGAAATAGAAAAATTTTTTCCCTTCAATCCTCTAGATTTTGAGAGCTTTGACCTGCCTGAAGAGCACCAGGTCGCACACCTGCCCTTGAACGGAGTGCCTCTCATGATCCTCGACGAGCAGAGAGAGCTTGAGAAGCTGTTGCAGCTGGGCCCCCCTACGCCAGTGAAGATGGCTTCTACTCCATGGGAGGCTGGTCCGTTGCCATCTCCTTCAAGCATCCTGTCGGCCCTGGATGTTGACCTGCCACCTGTGTGTTACGATATGGATATTTAAATTTCTTACTGCTTGGTAGTCTGCGTTTGTGTTAATAAAGCATTTCTTTCATGGAAAAAAAAAAAAAAAGAAATACCAAGGAGGGATTAGAGGGTTGGGACTTGGAGCCCCACAACCTATGGAGACAGGAAAGGGGCTGAGCTTGAGGTGATCACTGATGGCCAATGATTAAAAAAATTAATTTGATTTGATTTATTTAAAAGGCAGAGAAAGAGAAAAAGAGGAGATCTCTCATTTGCTGGTTCACTTTCCAAATTCCTGCAGCAGCCAGTGCTGGGTCAGCCAGAAGCCAAGAGCCTGAAACTCCAGCCTGAAACGTAGGTCTCCTTTGTGGGTGGCAGGGACTTGGGTGTTTGAGCCATCACCTGCTTGCTGCTTCCCGGATGAGCACTGGCAGAAAACTGGAATGAGGAGCGGAGTCTGGACTTGAACCGAGGCAGTCCCATATGGGATGAGTGTGTCTTAACAACGCTGCAGCAAATGCCCACCCCACCCCAGAACTTGATGCAATGTGATGAAGCTTCCATAAAAACCCAAAGGACACAGTTCAGAGAGCTTAGCTGAACACCTAAAGTTTCTTGGAGAGTGGCATGCCTTGCACCCCTTCCCACCTGCCTTGCCTTATGCATCCCTTCATCCGTTTCCTTTGTAACACCCTTTACAATAAATAATAAATGTAAGTAAAATATCTCCTATGGTCTCTGAGTTATTCTAGAAAAAAGCACAGGTAAATTACCAGAGGCTTGAAACTGGCATTGAAAGTGAGGAGTGGTCTTTCTGGGAGGTGGGTATAGAGGGCCCAGGTTCTTGTCTCTGATGCATGAAAGAATTCGAGGATGAGACATAGAGGAAAGTTGTCAGAAGAATAAGATTTATTAGGAAGCACAAGTACAAGAACACAAGTGTGTACTTGTGTAGAGAGTGCAGGCCTGCTCTACAGTGAGCTGCAACCCATGAAGTTCAGGGTCATCCCTTTTATGTATTTTATGTAATCTGGAAGCATAGGGTTGGTGCTTTGGGTGGAGTTCTGCAGGAATTTGGTGACTTCCCATTCTCTGGCCTATTTAGGAAGTCTCAAAAGTGTGCTAGTGTCAGGTGCATCATGGGAGTGGGAGTGTCAGTCATGACTAATTTTTTTATGATAGTAGACTGGGTCATTGCAGGAACTCGGCATCCATGTAGGGTTTTGTTAGCTGGTGTGGGGAGGGGCCTGAGAAGCAGCTTTGGTAGAATGAGGAGGGTTGTCTGCCTTGAGAGGAGTTTTAAAGGCAGCCCTGGGGAGAGAGTGTGTTGAGATATTTCCCCTGACAAAGAGGGTGTCAGAATTGATTTGCAGGACTCCCAAGTGGTGTCTACTGTGGAATTAATTTGTTGATTGGTAGCTCATAAAGAGAAATCCCCACACATTTTGTGTGGACCAAAAGTCACAAAAGTCTTCTGTATCTGAATGTTGAATGAGAATAGAAAAATGCACTGCTTTCCCCAAATCCCCAGAACCTTGAAGGCATTTTTAGTTGTTCGACATAGTCTACCTAATAGCAATTTAATTCTTTGCAATTAAATTCACATTCCTTATCAATCTTCTTCAGTTTAAAATACAGTTGTCCCTTGATAGGGTAGATTGGTACAAGGATCTCCCTTAGATACCAAAATTTGAGTGTGCTCAAATCCCTTATATAAAATGGCATAGTATTTGCATATAACCTATGACATGGTCTCCCATGTACTTTAAATCATCTCTAGATTACTTATAATATCTAATACAATGTAAATGCTTTGCAAATAGTTGTTATGCTGCACTGTTTAGGGGAAAATGACAGAGAAAATGTACATAAACAAGATGCTTTTATTTAGGGGCCGGTGCTGTGGCATAGTGGGTAAAGCATCTCATATGGGTGCTGGTTGAAGACCTGGCTTTTCCATTTCTGATCCAGCTCTCTGCTGTGGCCTGGGAAAGCAGTGGAAGATGGCCTAAGTTCTTGGGCCCCTGCATCCATGTGGGAGACCCGGAAGAAGGCCCTGGCTCCTGGCTTCAGATCAGCTCAGCTCTGGCGTTGTAGCCATTTGGAGTGAACCAGTGGATAGAAAATCTCTCTCTCTCTCTCTCTCTCTGTGCCTCTGCTTCTCTGTAACTTCACCTTTCAAATAAATAAATAAATCTTAAAAAAAAAAAAAAGATGCAAGTCTGGGACCAGTGCTGTAACGTGGTGAGTAGAACCCCCACCTGCTGTTGCCAGCATCCCATTGGGCACTGGTTTGAGTCCTGGCTGCTCCACTTCTGATCCAGCTCTCTGCTGTGGCCTGGGAATGCAGTAGAAGATGGCCCAACTGCTTGGGCCCCTGCACCCACATGGAAGACCCAGAGGAAGCTCCTGGCTCCTGACTTCGGATTGACTCAGGTCCTGCTGTTGTAGCCATTTAGAGAGTGAACCAGCAGATGGAAGACCTCGCTCTCTCTCGGCCTCTGCCTCTTTGTAACTCTATCAAATGGATAAAGAAATCCTTAAAAAAAAAAAAAAAAAAGATAAGTCCTACAAGATGCACTCATCGAGTGCTGGAGAGGGTGGTGGGAGGCTGCAGCCCCACGAGCCTCCACATCACTCCATTCATGTGGATTCAGTGTAGTTTTTGTGTGCAGCAAATTCAAGTTTTACTTTCCAGAAACCTCTGGAAATTTATTCCTGAATATTTTTGATGTGTGGTTAGTTGAATCTGCAGATATAGAATCCACAGAGGGTCAACTGTACTCTGAGGAAGTACAATAGAGTAAACCCTGAATGAAGAAAAGGCATTGAGGGGGCGAATGTAACAGCACAGCTGGTTAAGCCACTGTTGTGAAGCTGGCATCACATACAAAATCGCAGGTTTGAGTTCCAGCCACTCTGCTTCTAATCCAGCTTCCTGCTAATGCACCTGGGAAGGCAGAGGTTGATTGTCTACGTACTTGGGTTCCTGCCCCATGTGGGAGACCTAAATGGAGTTCCTGGCTTCTGACTTCAGCCTGGCTCAGACCTGGCTGTAATGAATATTTAGGGATGAACCACTTGATGGAAGATCTCTCTCTCTGTTTCCCTTCCTTTCAAATAAATGAACAAAAAAATTAAAAAAAAAAAAAAGCCATTGTAGAGGACTCCCAGAATGGAAACACCAAGGAATTGCTTTGACTGGGGCAAGGGTATTTGCCTAGCAGTATGTGAAGAATTTGAAAGATTGCTTTCTTTCCTGATTGGACTACTGTTCTAAACAAAATAGATCTTAAGGCAAAGATGGCCCTTCTGCCACGAACCAGGCATTGGCTGCCTATCCAATGCCACTTATCCTAAACACTTCATCCATGTCTCTAATTCTTCCATCATCTCTGACCACAGGAATCACTAATTGCTTAGAAGCAAATAGTTTCTGAGTGATTCCTGAGTGTGGGTTTTATTTTATTTATTTATTTTTAAATATTTATTTATTGGGGACAGCACAATGGCACAGTGGGTTAAGCTGCCATCTGAGTGCTGGCATCCCATGTGGGTGCTGGTTGGAGTCCAGGTTGCTCCACTTGTGATCCAACTCCCTGCTAATGTGCCTGGGAAAGCAGTGGAAGATGGCTCAAGTCTTTGGGCCCCTGAACCCATGTGGGAGTCCCAGATGAAGCTCCTGGCTCCTGGCTTTGGCCTGTCTCAGTCTTGGCTGTTGGAGCCATTTGGGGAGTGAGCCAGAAGAGGAAGACCTCTCTTCTCTCTCCCTCCTTTTTTTTTTTTTTTTTTTTGGACAGGCAGAGTGGACAGAGAGAGAGACAGAGAGAAAGGTCTTCCTTTTGCTGTTGGTTCACCCTCCAATGGCCTCCACGGCCGGCGTGCTGCGGCCGGCACGCTGCGGCCGGCGCACCACGCTGATCCGATGGCAGGAGCCAGGTACTTCTCCTGGTCTCCCATGGGGTGCAGGGCCCAAGCACTTGGGCCATCCTCCACTGCACTCCCTGGCCACAGCAGAGAGCTGGCCTGGACAAGAGGGGCAACCGGGACAGAATCCGGCACCTCAACCGGGACTAGAACCCGGTGTGCCGGTGCTGCAAGGCGGAGGATTAGCCTAGTGAGCTGCGGCGCTGGCTCTCCCCCTCTCCTCTCTGTGTAACTCTGCCTTTCAAATAAATAAATACATTTAGAAACAAACAAACAAAAAAAGATATATTAGCAGGGAGCTGGATCAGAAGTGGAATACCTGGGACCAGAACCAGCGCCCATATAGTGACGCAAAATGCTATGGTTTTAACCCACTCTGCCACAGCACCAGCCCTGAGTGTGGGGATTTCTTTTTCTTTTATTTTTTTAAAGATTTATTTATTTATTTGAAATTCAAAGTTACACAGAGAGAGGAGAGGCAGAGAGAGAGAGAGAGGTCTTCCAACCACTGGTTCACTCCCCAATTTGGCCACAACAGCCGGAGCTGCACTGATCAGAAGCCAGGAGCCAGGAGCTTCTTCCAGGTCTTCGCATGTGGGTGCAGGGGCCCAAGGCCTTGGGCCATCCTCAACTGCTTTCCCAGGCCATAGCAGAGAGCTGGATCGGAAGTGGAGCAGCTGAGTCTCAAACTGGCGCCCATAGGGGATGCCGGTGCTTCAGGCCAGGGTGTTAACCCTCTGCACCACAGCGGCCCCTTCTTTTTCTTTTTAAAAAAGACTTTATATATTTGAGAGGTAGAGTTACAGACAGAGAGTTGGGAAAGACAGAGGGAGAGGTCTCCCACACAGGTGCAAGGGTCCAAGCACTTGGGCCACCTTCCACTGCTTTCCAGGCCTTTAGCAGAGAACTGGATTGGAAGAGGAACAGCCGGGACATGAACTGGTGCCAAAATGGGATGGAGGTGCTGCAGGCAAAGGCTTAGCCCACTATGCCACAGCACCAGCCCGAGTGTGGGGACTTTAAAACAAGTGCTCTTTCATCTTTCAATCCCCTCACTTCCTCTAGGCTAGTGGTTCTCAAAGTGTGCTCCTCAGATCCACAGCATCAGCATCACCATGGGGATTTGTTAGAAATGCAAATTCTCAGGCCCTATGCTTGGCTTGGCTGTAGGACAGAGCGGCAAGGAGGGAAAGT